AAGATAACAACATAAATCCCAATGACTATCATAATGATAATGAGGTCATCATTATCATATATGCAATGATGATATAATTGATAATAATGATAATGATAATAAATATAATGGTGATGATGACGATAATAACAATGATGATAATAATAGCAATGATGGTAACTAACAATGATAACAACAATAACAATGATAATAATAACAAAATAACAGTAATGATAATAATAATAGTAATGATGATGATGATAACAACAACAGCATTATAACAACATCAACAACAACAGCAATAGTATCAATAATAATAATAATAATCATAATAATAATATTAATAAAAATAATAATAATTTTAATGATAATAATAAAAATGACAATGGTAATAATAATCATCATACTGATAATAATGATAATAATAATAACAATAATAATAGTTACAATAATAATAATAACAACAACAATGAAAAAAGGTGGTAATGATAGCAATAACACTGATGAGGATTATAATGATAATCATGATAATACCCATATTGATGAGAACATTAATAACAATGATAATAATGGTGATGGTCATGATAATAGAAATGATAATGTTGATAACTTTAATAATGAAAATAATAATAATGATAATTTTAAAATGATAATAAATATAATGGTGATGATGACGATAATAACAATGATGACGATAATAACAATGATGGTAACTAACAATAATAACAACAATAACAATGATAATAATAACAAAATAACAGTAATGATAATAATAATAGTAATGATGATGATGATAACAACAACAGCATTATAACAACATCAACAACAACAACAGCAATAGTATCAATAATAATAATGATAATCATAATAATAATATTAATGAAAATAATAATAATATTAATGATAATAATAAAAATGACAATGGTAATAATAATCATCATACTGATAATAATGATAATAATAATAACAATAATAATAGTTACAATAATAATAATAACAACAACAATGAAAAAAGGTGGTAATGATAGCAGTAACACTGATGATGATTATAATGATAATCATGATGATATTGATGAGAATATTAATAACAATGATAATAATGGTGATGGTCATGATAATAGAAATGATAATGTTGATAACTTTAATAATGAAAATAATAATAATGATAATTTTAATAAAGATAATAATAACAACAACAATGATAATAATGATCATAAAATAATAGTAATAATAATAATGACAAGAAAGATAATAATCATAATAACAATAATAATTGTAATTATTAGTAATATTCTTTTCTTATCATTACCACTATCATCAGCATCACTATTCTATTCTTATTTTTCTTCTTCTTATTATTATTATTTTTATTATTATCATCATTTCTTAAATTATTACAATGACAATAATAATGATAATGATGATGAAAAGGACAAAATAAAGATAATAACAATAATAATAATAATAATTTTGATACCAATAATAACAATATATATCTATATTTCTATATATCTATATCTATATCTATATCTATCTATCTATCTATCTATCTATCTATATATATATATATATATATATATATATATATATATATATTATATATATATATATATATATATATATATATATATATATATATATATATATATATATATATATATATATATATATATATATATATATATATATACATATACATATACATACATAAACACACACACAAACTGTAAAAGGTATATAGAGGCCTTTATACATTGGCTTGCAGGGGTAGTCAGTTCTATAACGGCTTGACTCTTTATTAATGAAGAGTACTACACAGTGAAGGGACGAGTCTTGGGTAAGCGCTGAGTGCGGGGGTGGCATGGGCGGAATGCTGGTGATATGACCTGAGCCCGGCGAGTGCTTGTTATCCTCGCTGAGTCGATGGTTCTCTACTGGCTAACAACCACGTGGTCAGTGTCTAATGGCTTACACAAATCGTGCTTATACACACGGTATATTGCTTGGCCACCTACTAACGCCTCGCCCTCGAGGCGCCTTTGATTTACCCTAAAGATGACCCAACTTGGGGAAGTCTTGCTGGTCATTTCGTTCTCACGTGTGCTGTCCCTGGTGTATTTTCATGGCTGCTCGTTTTTGTCGTTTCTTCGTCCTGGTCCTTGGTAAATCCGTCCGTCCTCGACGTCCACCCGTCCTCGAAGGTCTTGCACAGGTCCTCCTTCACTTCAGATTCGTCCAGACTTTCTCGTAGTCCTCGTCCAGGCCTAACTCGGCGGCTAATCTCGTCCAAGTCCTTCTCGGCTGCGTGCTCGTCTAGACGTCCTCGTAATCTTCGTCAGGATCTATGAGCGTCCGGGCAGGAGGCGTCCTCTTCGGTATCTCAGGGCGGCTTATACCTGCACTGACGAACTCCTGGAGTATGACTGGATCTACGGGCGTCCAGGCAGGCGGCACCCGTCCACAGCATCATGGGGCGACTGGTACTTGCGCTGGCGAGTTCCTAGTCCTTCGCGGCGCCCTTCCACATCCTGGGGCGGCTTAATACCTGCTCTGACGAACATCCTGGTCCGTAGGTTTCTGGCGATCTGGTGATGTCCTTCCCACAGCATCCTAAGGTGACCGTTTCTGCAGTAGGGTCCTAGTTCAGTGCCGTGTCGGATATCGGTGAACCAGATTATACACGTAAAGACCAAGATAGTAGGAGAAAATGAAAGGCAACCGATAAGAGGGGGTGTTAAGCGCCACTAGCCAATTACTTACATTAATTTGCTGTTTCTAATGTTCATCTTATCTTCGTCTTTTTTCATTTTGTATTTTACTTAAGTTGAATAAGAAAATGGCAGGGGGAGACGTCAGTAGCGATCCGCAAAGACCTGGCTTGAACTCCCAACTGTCTCTGATAGATATGAGAGTATATAAGGAGAACGACAACGGCAATCCGCAAGGATTTACTTAAACTAATTGTCGTCACACAGAGAAGAGAGGTATGTAAAATAAGAAATCATGTACTAGTCACTCGCCACGACTGACAAAATCGCGGGCAAAAGAAATACATCATAGATCTTTACGCCTGCAACTACGACAGCAAAAGAGTTCAGTGTCTTTTGTTCTGCGTGGATGAGTGAGTGAGTATGTGTGTGTGTGTGCATGTGTGAGCGACAGGGAGCGTGAGAGTAACCTCACACAGAGCGGAATGTATGACAAACACAAAGATTAACGTTCACTTTAACAATAATGCAATAAACTAGCGATGCAATTAATACAAAATTATTTCAACTACCACATTGAATTCCATATTTAATGATATGCGACAGAATGTACGCACTAATGAACGGTGACGTGAAAATGCTCGCAAGCTTTCTTCCAAGCAAATCTACTCGGGGTCAGCAAATCTCCCGAGGTAGCCATGTCTAGCTGTGCATGTGACTTCATCAAAAACTGTACTGAAGGAAGCAAACGAGCCGGGAAATGTATAAATAACCCACTCTATTCTGCGAATCTGTGATGGACGCTCGTAACGTGCCCTATGGGTATATATCACGAATCGCGTGAGATCGCTTGAGATTTACCCAAAACATGCAAGCGACTTCTAGAGAGTGAGATGACTAACAAGCGAATAAATGATCCTAGCTTAAACCCTAGTCCTACATTAATTAACGAACGTACTTGCGGGTCACACCGACTCAAAAGTTGCCGATCGTACGAATAACTTCGGATATCCCTGTGCATTATATGGGGAAGATTCTAACGCTATACTCAACTAATATATATATAATCGCGTTACAAGCTCGGTCCTAGCGCCGATAGAACGTGTCACAATTGCTAGGCATATTTCTATGGTGCAAACAATTACAAATAACCAATTAATGGGAACACTGAGCTGTCTTTCAAGCTATTTCATGTGTCGACCGACCAGAAGTGAGAGAAAGCAAGGTCAGGTTAAGAAGGGAACTGCGCTACGAGAATGGAAATAAGCGATATGATATCCGCAATAAAATCACGAACGCGTTAAATTCGTTGTAGTTGAAACAATATAAATCTCTAATAACGAGATAAATACATAAATTAATTGATTAATGAACGGTATTCATGTTTGTTGTCTACATACCGTGACCACACGGTAATGCGATCTAAGGCCAGATGAATAGTGTGAGAACGTGCCATTTGCTGTCACTTAGTACTTTTAGCCAACAAAACCAACGTGAGAGTGACTGCACATATGGGGTAACACATTTATGGGAGAAGAAGGGAGGGAAAAGAAATGAAGAGGCCCAAAACGTGTAATCACGTGGTTTTGAAGACATGCCGATCGTGGAAGCGAGGGTCGAGCGGATTTCGGAGACTGTGTCCGTGTTGTGAGCCAAAAGGACGCAACGACCACTCTTCCACCAGTTTAAGATTTATAGTCGCTAGCAGGGCGGTAATAGTTGTTTAAAATGGCTTGACTCTTTACTAATGAAGAGTACTACAGTGAAGGGAACACACGAGGCGAGTCTTGGTGAAGTGCTGAGTGCGGGGGTGGCGTGGTTCGCCAACCCCCCTATGGAGGAGGGGAGGGGGCGGAAGGCCGGTGATATGACCTGATCCCGGCGAGTGCTTCTCATGAACAAGGTCAGATAAACTCGTCATCGAAGTCCTCGCCGAGTCGATGATCCTCTACTGGACGTGGTCTATGTCCAATGGCTTACACAAATCGTGCTTATAACGATATACACACACAGACATATATATATATACACACACACATACACATGCACGCACACACACACAAACACACACACACACACACACACACACACACACACACACACACACACACACACACATACACACACATACACATACACACATTCACTCACACACACATACACACACATACACATACACACATTCACTCACACACACATACACATATATATATTTATATAGATAGATGTGCGTGAGTGTGTGTGTATGTATGTGTGTGTCAGTGTATAAACGGACGTCTGGGCATTAGTAGCATGATACGGATGGCGACTCACATAGCCTGACGTAGAGGAGGTACTGCATGGACGCCCTCGGTGAGGGGTCCAAGATGGTCCCACGCATGGCCACGTGCGCAATGCAGAACTCGACCACCACGCAGCCCGAGAGAATGACGAGGTAGCCGACCACGTGCTCCCGCAGGCCCGACCAACAGGCGTAACCCTCCTCGCGGGTTCCTACGACGCCGTATATTACTGACAAGACCACCAGC